ATCTCCTATTCACCTTATATGCACATATGTAACACACACCTTACAGGTTAACAGGCTAGCATTCTCATCCCAACAATATTTCGTAAATTATAACCAGAATATTTACGGCGATTAATGGAACTTGAAAATAAAATTATGATTAGTAAAAATAACTATATAACTTTTCCTATTTCTTTTCGTATTTACTTACTTCTCATTAGTGTTCGAACGGCAGATATAAGGTTTATAATGTTTGTCTTAAACGACGGTCCATCTCCACCAAACCCTGCTTCGGGTTGATTACTCATGCCAACTTTCAATCATAAATTAAAGGTAAATAATAGATCAATTCCCACAAACATAAAAATAAAATAAAAAGGAAATGTTTACTTCGAGCAAGGAATCTATCCTCGTTCAAAACAGCCATAGCATTTATTATAAGTATTATAACATAAAGGATCTGTCCGATCGAAAGTACCATTGTTGCTTTTGATAACTTTATTAGACGATGTGTGAACAATATTCATTTGAATGAGGTCACATGTCCGGACATTTGTCTGATTAGTCGATTTGAATCGATTGCCCATTGGTTAAATTTGTTGTCTAGCCAATTCTGATTGGTCAAAAGTGTCAAACTAACTGTAAGCATAATTGTCTGAAATGCTATTTTAGATTAAGTTTGAAAAAAACACTACCAAATTACTCTATGACGGAAAGTGCACCCCCTCGCTAACTTTTGGATTATTTGTCTGTTCTCCGGATTATTTTTATACTGTATATAAAGTGAAAGGTTTAGTTTCAGAATTTATATGTCGTGTCCTTTGCCAATTGGCTGTCAATTCGTCAACAGTGTATATCGATATGTATCAATCATTAACCAATCAGAATTAAAGCCCGCTATGCAGATAAACTTATGCTATGATCTTCAAAACAATTGATGCATCGACGTAGAAGCTTTAACTACTTAGGAATTTATAGTCATATCAGTAGAAAATGCATTCAGACCAGTTCAAATGATACGATAAAAATAGAAAATGACCAAAGTTTAGAAGCAGCGATAGAGTATTGCGGTGATCTCGTTAGGTGTGAGATGCGTCTATTCTTTCTTATGATTCATTACACTTTCTATCAAATAATATATACATCATATTCTTTTTAGAAAGCATGATCCGGAAAATTACCTTGTATCGATGTTTTATCCAAAACATCTTCAAAGGGTTTATTACGCGATACGTGCTTTTAATCTTGAATTAGTTATGGTTCGCGATTCAGTTAGTAGTCCTCAAATTGGAAAGATAAGGATGCAATTTTGGCGTGATACAATTGATAATGTGTTTAAGGTTTGTCTTTCCATATTTCTATTAATTATTTCACCGAAGTATAACGGCTTTCTAAATCGCACTAGTGATGTTTAACCACTGGTGTGATTTATTGAAATATAATTTATTATTGTTGTATTAGGGTAAGCCACCTCAACAACCAATTGCTCAAGTCTTATTCAATGCTTTAGAAACTTGCCGATTGTCACCTTTATTTTTTAAACGAATAATCGATGAAAGGGTTAGTATTCAATAATCGGCCTGTTTCTTTCAAACAATAAACAATTCACTACTTTTAATAACTTTTAGGAAGCAAATCTAGATGATTTACCGTATTTCACTATTAAAGATCTTGAATCATATGGTGAAAATACTGCGTCATGTCTTTTATATTTACATCTTGAATCTTTGAATGTTAAGGATGTGAAAGCAGATCATGCTGCAAGCCATATTGGAAAAGCTATTGGAATTGCTACTATTCTAAGAGCATTTCCTTATCTTGCTAGTAAAAGAAGGATGCTGTTACCTACTGAAATCCTCGCAAAGGTATTATTATTACGAATTTGGTTAAAACAATTTATCATATATCTTTAAATTCGGTTTTGTCGTTCCAGCATAACATTTCACAAGAAGAAATATTTAGGTAAGGTCCCGTTAAAGGGTTAGATGATATTGTTTTTGAAGTGGCCACATTGGCTCACGATCATTTACTTACTGCTCGATCACTCTTGCCAGATATACTTGGTCAAACTTTACCTGCTTTATTATCAGCTGTGAGCAAAATTTCTATTAAGATATATATTATCGATATATTGTTTGCTTAAAACGTTTTGACCCTTTTGGATAGGTACCTTGCGATTTATACCTAAAGAGATTGGAAAAATATAATTTTAATGTATTTGAACCAAAAGTAAATAGGAAAGATTGGAGATTGCCTATTCAATTATGGTTTAGATATAGGAAAGGAAGGTTCTAAATATTTGATGAAAAAACAATATGAACTTTGAACAGTCTGACCATCTTGAATGCTACGACTGAAATAATGAACTATAAAAACAAGGTTGGTAA